AAGGAAGGAAGGAAGGAAGGAAGGAAGGAAGGAAGGAAGGAAGGGAAAGAAAGGATAGATCAACACTTATTCAAAGGAAAAACAAAAAGAAAAGGAAAGAGGGAAAGGAAAGAAAAAGGAAAGAATCAACACTGATTCGAAGGGCCTTCCTTCCTTCCTTCCTTCCTTCCTTCCTTCCTTCCTTCCTTTTATTGCTTGCTTCCTTGCTTGCTTCCTTCCTTCCTTCCTTTGATTGCCTCCTTCCTTCCTTCCTTCCTTCCTTCCTTCCTTCCTTCCTTCCTTCCTTCCTTCCTTCCTTCCTTCCTTCCTTCCTTCCTTCCATTGCCTCCTTCCTTCCTTTTATTGCTTGCTTGCTTGCTTCCTTCCTTCCTTCCTTCCTTCCTTCCTTCCTTTCGATTGCCTCCTTCCTCCCTCCCTCCCTTCGGATCCCAGAAACCTCCCCAGGCTAATAAATGTCGTCCTCTGAGGAAAACGTCCTCTCAGCAAGGCGGTGCATGGCTTTACTCAAAGGGAAACTTGGGAGTTGGGAGCCTTCCCAGTATCACCTTCAAAAGAGGGGAGGGGGGTGAAAACCCGATTCTCTTTAAGGCTGACAAGATGGTCCCGCTTGCTTTTCATCTCCCTATCCTTCCCGGCTGGAAAAAAAAAGTAAATACGGCCAAATTGGATAAGGCTGAGGCGGGGAGGGCTTAGCTTGCACCGTTGTGGTAATGGGGCATCTATTTCTCCGGAAAGGAAAGGAAAGGAACCAGAGGTGGTATTCAGCAGGTTCTGACCAGTTCTGGAGAACCATTAGCGGAATTTTTGAGTAATTCAGAAAACCGGCAAATCCCACCTCTGACTGGAGAGTTTACAGTGTCCTTCCCCTGCCACGCCCACCAAGCCACGCCCTCAGAACTGGTAGTAAAATTTTTTGAATCCCGCCACTGAAAGGAACCCCATCGAAAGCCCTGCGAGAAGAGGTCGAGGTGAGGCCAAGTATGCCAGAGTTCAGTTCTTGCTGTCAGGCAAAGATTTAAAGTCTTCTGGGAAGGTGTTTTTTTTTTTCTCCTGTCAGCGCCTCCATAAACAGTGACACTTGGCTCTTCCCTCTCTCCGACCTTCCTAGCTAAGGCGAGTTCCGGAGAAATTAGATTGGGGGGTGGGGTGGGGGTGGCTTCCTCACTGTAAGATCTGTCCAACCGGACAAAATGTGGAGATTGTGGGACCTCCATCTCTTGGGGTTTTTAAAAGGGGGCTGGGCAACTAATTCTGGTGCATTGTTTCATTCGTTTTCCTGCACATTACCGTGGATTGGACTAGATAACCTTTAGGGTCCCTTCCAACTCTACAAATCTATCCTCCATCCATCCACTTTACAATGCTATGATCTTCTATGATAGAAGCAACGGAGAACCAAGGGGAGATTTCGTGACAGTTAGAACAATTCATCAAATGGAACGACTTGCCTTCAACACCGGAGGTTCTTAAGAAGGGATTGGACTGTCTTTTGTCCGAAATAGTACAGGGTTTTCTGCTTGAGAAAGGGGGTGGACTAGAAGACCTCCCAAGTCCCTTTCAACTCTGATATTCTACCAATTGAGAAGACGCTTTCGGGCATAGATGCATCTATCTTTGATCTGTTTACCTCCTTCGCCCTCTTTGTCCTGGGGCTATATATGTATGCATGTGTGTGTGTGTGTGTGTGTGTGTGTATATATATATATATATAATGTAGATAGATAGAACACAAATATACAAAGAGAATCTCCTTCGATTTTAATTTTCTCAAGCCTTTTTCTTTTGAGAACCAGTATTTTCCTTACTTGACTGTTATCTTTTTGGCGTGCTTCTCTGTTTTCAACCTGGGGCCACTGTGTATTCCGTTTGATTTCACGGGTGTGTGATTGTGATGAATCCTTATAATAGGACAGAGTTCTAAATAGCAGCTAGTCTCATTATATTTGGGGACCGAGGCTGCAGACTGACTGGTGTTTGGGATGAGGTCACTCCAAACACAAGAACAGTTGTGGCATCCGTAAGACGCCAGGTGTGTAGAGAGGGACATCCTGGGCTTCCTTTGCAAGAGGGATGAGCCACCACCGGTGGTTGATCGAACTACAAATCCAAGGGCCCTTCACTTTTTGGGGGCAGGCTGGATGGACTTCTGGCATTGTAGTTCAACCACATCTGGAGTGTATTTCATGGGGTTCTGCCCTGCGTCCTCCATAATCCTCCCGGGTGGTTTCTGAGAAGGCGTCGTCCTTGTTTTTCCCAAACCGTTGGCTTCAAACTTGACAGCTTTGAAGTCGTGTGGACTTCAACTCCCAGAATTCCTCCTCCAGTCAGGGTAGCTCAGGAATTCTGGGAGTTGAAGTCCACCAGTCTCAAAACTTGCCAAGTGTGAAGACCCTTGAACTTTCGCCCCGCTGCCCTAAATCCCTCCCCATTTCAGTCTGTGGGGCGAAAAGCCACCCTTGCCTCGTCCGGAATGTCCCCTTTTTGTGACCAAAGATGACCTCCAAGCCAAAGACGAGAAGGCATGGGCGATCATCCGCTCCCCCCTCCCGTCCCATGCCTTTCCCCTGTCGGGAGGGGGGGTCTCCTCCCCGCGGGCTCCTTCCCTCTCCCTATAAATCCATCTCCCGGACAACGGGGGAGGGAGGGAGAGAGAGAGAGGCGCTCTGGACAGAGCTGGTCGCCCGTGGGAACGTCCCAGGGACCCCTTTCCGCGGGAGGGTGTGCATGCAGCTGCTGGCTCGGATCGACCATGGAGAGCGCGATGGAGGCGCCTCAGCTGACCTGTCCCGCTTCTCCTAATCCCTCAGGTTTCCTGCAAAGGAACAACAGCCTGGAAGACAAGAGCCGGCTGGTGAGCGCGCTCAAGGAACGGCAGAGCAGCCGGAACCTGCTGGCTTGCGAGAACAGCGAGAAGGAAGGCCGCTTCCAGAAGACCGAGACCGACTTCTCCAACCTCTACGCCCGGGGTAAACTTAAAGTCCCGATTCTCTTGCCCTCGCCCTCGCCCTCGCCTGCCGCCCCATCCCGAGGTTCCCTTCCAGGGCTCTTCAAAACTCCACAGCTTGAAGACTGGTGGACATCAACTCCCAGAATTCCTCCTCCAGTCGTGGTAGCCCAGGAATTCTGGGAGCTGAAGTCCACAAGTCTTAAACTTGCCAAGTTTGAAGTGCCTTCGTATCCCTTCCTTGGCTCTCAAAAGCCCCAACCTGCCAAGGTGCTTCCCTTCCTAGGAAAGGGGTGGTGGCGGGAGAGGGAGAGAGGAGGATTATGGTTTGCCCAATGCCAAGCAGCTGGAAGCTGTTTTCCTGTCCTGGGACATCCCTCTCCTACTGCTGGCATCTGAGGTCATTTCAGGGTGTTGCCAGCTACCAAGCGAGCCAAATGCTTCTCCTGTTTTGCAAGTTGGTGCAACTTGGGTCATCGGTAGTGGGACAGTCCGAGGAGGGTGTCCTGCAGCTCAGAAGCAGGAAGGGAAGTTATTTGGGGCAAGCAAAGGGAAGCGGAGAGCCTAATGCCATCAATTGGCTTTAAATTGGAGAGGGTTACTCAAAGACTTCTCAAGGATTGGTCGGCTGCAGCTGAAATGGAACTTCCATTTATAGAAGCAGTCCTAGACTTACTCCCACAACTGAGCCCCAAATGTTATGTTGCTAAGTGAGACACGTGTTAAGGGGGGTTTGCCCCATTTTCTGGCCTCTGTCGTTAAGTGAATCACTGCCGTTCTTAAATTAGTAACACAGTTGTTAAGTGAATCTGGCTTCCCCATGGACTTTGCTTGTCAAGAAGGTCACAAAAGGTGGAATGCATGACACACACACACACCCCAGGATACTACAACTGTCATAAATGCGAATTGGTTGTCAGGCATCCGAATGTAAATCATGTGACCATAGGGAATGCTGCAATGGTCATAAGTGTGGGGGAACAAAACTGTCATCAGTCGCTTTTTTTTCAGTGCCGTTGTAACATTTAGTTTAGTTTGCTTTGTTTTGCTTTATTGACATTGTACCTCGTACAATGAAATCAAACACCATCTTCAGTGCACATCATGAACATGAAAATAAACACAAACATGCATCATTCACACTCCACACATTGAACCGGAAACCCCTGACACCACACCAACACCAGCAGAATTCAATAGAGTTACTGCCCTGGGATAGAAGCTGTTTTTCAGCCTATTTGTCCTTGTTTTTATTATCCTGTACCGTCTGCCAGATGGTAATAGTTAAAAAAAAAGGGTTCCCAGGATGAGACGGATCTTTGAGAATGTTTTGAACTTTCTTAAGGCAGCAGGAGCTATAAAGCTCTTCCAAAGAGGGGAGAGGGCAACCCATGATCTTCTGGGCAATGACATTAACCCAATGACGTTTGAACAATCACTCAGTGAACTATTGTAAGTTGAGGACTACCTATATAGTTTTCAATGCCAAGTGCAAAAGGAAAGTCTCTGCCAACTTGTCCCATAAGGTTCTGAGCCTCTTTCTGCAGGTCGAGAACCAAAGGATGCCAGACCAACCTTGATGCCTGAAAACAAATTGCACAGCTTTCCATCCTTTTATGGGCAAAAAACCACATAGAAACGATCACCAGCCTCTGGTTTAAGTTCAAGACAAAACAAAATTCCCCAAATTCCTTTCGCAAGCTCAATCTTGCCCAGATGGAACCTGGGACCGCACCCATTCTGTGGTCCCTGTTTTCTCAGTGGCTCTCTTCTTCTTTATGCACTTCTAGCCTATCCGCTGTTGTGGGTGGGGGGAATCTTCTGTTTTATGGGTTTTCTCTCTTTTTAAAATAAAAGTAAATAAATCCTAAGTTTAGCGAGCAAACTCTTTCTCGCCATGTTTACTTTTAGGCTCAGTCCCTTAACCTGGAAGAGATAAGCTAGGCTTTTGGGATGGGCGCCTTCCTTCCCTCTCCCTGCTTCTCAGTTTACATGCAGCTGCTAAGAGCCAACAAGCAACAAGTTATTTATCACTCCCCCCGCCACCCCGCTTGATTTATGAGCTTCCCTGGTCAGGATGTCTTGTGCTGGACTGGGGAGTTGATCCTGGGTTTTGAGCCAGCCATTCAGCTGGCAGGCTTCCTCCTCCTGCCTGCCCCGAAGTGCTCAATACACCACTTGTATTACCATCAGCCCAAGAGCTTCTGCTAACCCGAACCTCACTTTTCATTGGCTTTAATTAGCACAGGTATTTTGGATCGCAGCGCCCGCCTGCGTTGTCTATCATTTCCCATCTTGCCTGGAGCTGAAGGGAATTGGGGTCCGAATCAGCTGGAAATCACCCAGTTATTTGACTCCCCAGTCAGTCAGTCAGTCTGGGATATTTTGATGATCCAGTCCTCTCCTATTCAAAACCAATGGGTGAGGGTCTTTTTAATTGGGTTGTGGGGTGGGTTTTTTTTGCACAGCCTCTTCATTAGAAGTCTATTTTGTTAAATCTGGTATCACTTCCACTCTTTCGGAGACTAGCTAGTATTTTATTGAGACTAATCCCTGAAGACCGTTCCCCATTTTCTTTTAATTATAAAAGGGACATTCCCCCGGCAATCTCTTTTCTTTGTCAAAATCTTGCATTCTTTCTTTGCCTCCAACCCCAGAGCAGTTGAAAGTTTATCCTTAGCAGTTATTTTATTAAAGGGGCTCTTCTTTTCCTTCAAGCAACCAGTAAGCTGAAGTTATACTATGATGAGCATAGGTGTCGGTGAAAAAGGGAGGAGGGCAAACGATGAAATAGGGGTCGCCAACTCCTCTTCTTAGGGGTGCCATGTTGTAACACACACCTTAGAAAGGCCGGAGCTGGCCTGCGATGTCACGATGCACACTCCGTTGTGCACACTCCATCGTTTTTGGCATCATTTGTGGGTAGCTGTGGATGCCTACACAAATGGGTTCACCCTGAGACATTTCACTGACCACTTGTCCATGGTGAAGTCGGACGATTCCCATGGCAGGAAGTCCAGAGCCTATCTAGTATCTACCTCTCTGGTCCCTGCACAGCATCCCCTAGGCTAGGGGTTCCCAACCTGGGATGCTCGCACCCCCTGGGGGTGCAAGACGATATTCCAGGGGGTGCAAGAAAAGTCCAGGTAAATAATAGGATATTAGCTATATGTTGGCATTTTTATTTATTATTTATTTCGGGGGTACAAGGTTCGAGTGAAATTTCTTTAGGGGTGCAGGGCGAAAAAAAGATTGGGAACCACTCCCTAGGCCTATTCAGCTTTGGGCAACAGGAGAACCATTCTTTCAAACCAGGCTCTACATGTCATTGTCATTGCCAAGTTTGTCTATTCCTAGCTCTGTGTGTATGGGTGGTAGGAGGGAGAGGGGGAGGGAAACCGAGAGAGGGAGGGGAAGAGGAGGGAGGAAAGGGAGGGAGGGAGAGAGGGAGAGGAAGGGAGAGAGAGAGGGAGGGAGAGAGGGACAGGGAGAGAGGAAGGGGGAGGAGAGAGGAAGGGAAGGAGGGAGAGAGAGGGAGGGAGGGAGAAAGGGAGAGGGAGGGAAAGAGAGAAAGGGAGGGAGGAAGAGAGGGACGGGCGGGGGGGAGAGAGCGCTCTGGTATTTTATGGTAGAGCTCTCCCATATTGCACCCGCCAGGTGCAATATGATAAAACAACTCTTGCACACATGTTGGCTGTTGTGGGGATGGAACTGCTTTTGAACATAAGGTTACTGTATTCCATGAAAGGAATAAACCCACGTTCAAAAGTACCTTAAATAAAAATTGAGAAGTTGCATTCTGAAAGAGAGCGGCAGGCGGTGGTGGTGGTGGGAAAGATGACTCACACAATGCCTCTCTCAGATCTGTCGGCTATTATTCAGGCTGGTCCTCTCTTGGACTCATCTAGGATCCTCAAGCAGAGGATCAGCTCATAGGCCTGGCTGGCGAAGAACCTCTTCCCTTCCTTTGCCTCCTGTCTTCTTCAACCTTGGCAACAGATCTGCAGACTTGTGGAGAACTGGCGTCCGACAGATGCTGTAGTTAAATGCTAGCTGTACCTCAGGACCAGTAATGGCACTCAGGGGATTGGCAGATGGTTCTCTCATCAGCTGCCGAGGTGGGGAAAGGCAGCCTTCCCTGCAAGGGAAATGAGGACACCAGGCCTCTGGCTTCTTCAACCTAGAATGGAGGCCAGGAACAGCTTGTCCGCTACAGGGACATGGTGGAGAACATGTCCACTGAGTCATGGGGAAGAGCCGTAAATCAAATCTCTTTTGGTTTTAGCCAGTTAGGTTTTCGGATTGCTTATTATACAATGCCTTCTCACCTTGTTGAGTGATAATCCCAGAGGTGGTATTCAGCAGGTTCTGACCATTTCTGGAGAACCGGTAGCGGACATTTTGAGTAGTTCGGAGAACCGGCAAATCCCACCTCTGTCTGGCCCCGCCCCCATCTATTCTCTGCCTCCCATTGAATCCCAGCTGATCAACTGGGTCTTTTTTTGTTTGCACAGGAGAACGGAGCTGGAAAGCAGGTTAGTGGGGGTGGGGAGGGAATGGGATTTTACAGTATCCTTCCCCTGCCACGCCCACCAAGTCATGTCATGCCCACCAAGCCACACCCACAGAACCCATGGTAAAAAAAAAATTGAATCCCACCACTGGATAACCCCCATTATCTCCGGTTAGTGAAGTGTTGCCTGAGAATAATTTAAATTGACCTCAATGGGGAAGGCTGTGCCATATCTTTTTCCTTAGAGGCAGCCAAGCTGAAATAGGTTGGAACGTGCTTCAGATGCGAATGGGAAAGGAAAAGGATTATCTGCTTCTCACTTGGCCCTTGCTAGGCGATATAATATACCTAACAGGGATCAAATGTTGATATATAACACACAGGGAACACATAAGCAAACAGCCAGGCAAACAGCCAGGCCAACTTCAACTGAAGTCTTGTGGAAGATGCCACCTAAGCTGGCGACAAAATGTTCGGAAACTAAACAACAAGCTCAGAGAACAAGCCAGCATGAACATCTACCACCCGTGCTGCAGATATTTTCTATCGTTTCTAGAAATGAAGTTTCTCACCCAAGGCTCGGCTTCTTTGTGTGAGGCCAAGTGAGATGGAGATTCTCCTCAGATTCTGGATGCCCGTATATATGCTAGTAGAATGGCTCCAAGAACCCAGGAGTAAATCGGACTGACGTGCTGCTATTAGTTCATTCTTCTCTTTTCCAAGCTGAGATTTCAACCTTGATGAGGGTAGGAGATGATGGAAATTGGCAGCTCAATGCATCTTGAGGGGCAGTGGGTTGAGGAAATTGCTTTAATTCATCCAGGGGTGGATCCTGATGACCGGCCACAAAGGACTTGCACTAGGGAGAGTTCTAGAATTGTATTGCTGAGCCTGCATTAGTACAAGACTCCACCTGGGTGGGGTCTACTGGATGGACTATAGCCATCATTATGGATTCTGCAGAGGACAAATCACACCATACCTCAAGTTAATAAACTTCATTGACAATATGTATGAAATGGAAGGAGAAGAAATGCAAGTGACTTGTTTTGGAAAATGAGTTAGTTGGGACATGATATGTGGACAAAAGTATACACCTGTCAAATAAATAGCCAAGCTAGGAAAAATCTGATCTGGTACCTTTAAAAGCAAACAGATTCATTGCAACCTAAGCTTCACGGGCCATTTTGCATCAAATGTTCCTACATTCCTACGGATAAAAACCATTTGATGGTAGAACCAATTGCCTTGCAAGGTCAAGGGCTGTTCTGCATTGGATGTGTTCAGGCAGAAGCCAGATAGCATCTGTCCAGGAAGTCTTGATTTGGATGCCTGCAGAGTGCAGAGAGAGGCTCGGCGACAGAAATTGCTCTTCCTGTTCCGGGATTCTAGGCTGTCATTAGTTGAGTATAATGAAGAAAATAGTGAACCATGGAACCTTATTTCAAGGGGAAATAGCCTCCTTGGTATTTTCCTACTGTAGGTTTTTGTTGCTGTCATCTCTTGCCAAATTAGTCAAAAGCTACAATTTTTTGCCAACAATTCAGTAAGCAACTCAGTGATTTCATGGAAGAAGGATAATTTGAGCCTTGCCATTTGTTGTTATTTTTATTCCATTTGCTTGTCTTCTTGGCTAGCTCTGTGTCAAGACTGAACCCTTTGCTTCTTTTAAACCTTATCACTATTCAACTTGCCAATGAATGGGAGGGGGAGGGGGGAATGGCATGCTGAGATTTTGTGCACAGATCATGAGAGCTTGGAAACTATCAAGGTCACCACTGCAGATGCTTGAAAAGGATGTCTCATAATTAGACAGCGTGGTCACCTAGGGGTGGAGAGAAAGGGAAGCCATTGTTTAACTAGCAAGCATTTGTGTGGGACAACCAGAGCTGGTTTTGATTCTTCAGTACCAAAATGGTGTCTCCAATAAAGTTTTACTTTTGGTCCTGAGAGTGTTTAGTTATTTTGGGTTCACTAGTCAGACAGTTGACACTATGATATTCTCAGGAGTCTTCTCCAATGCCAAAGTCTAAAAGTATCAATACTGTTTCTATCTTGCTTCTTGAGAGACCAACTTTCACTTCCAAACAGAGAAAACAGGCTTTTAAATAGAGATGTGCAGTGAGGGGCTCATCAGATATTCCTAAATTCCAGTATCCAGCATTTCATGCCAGGATAGCCAATGATAAAGACTGTAATCCAACAACTTCTAAAGGGCCACACATTTCCCCTGGTGTGACTTAAGCAGCATGAAATTTAACTAATCCATATTTAGTGTTCAGAATAGGAATATTGGGTAATGAAAATTACAGTAATTCTGCTAGATTAATTTATGGGTGTATAGGAGAGCCACTGCTGAGCATTGATTAAATGATGGATTGAAGCTATTCAGCTTCCAATTCTTATGTGATCAAAAAAACTCACTGCATGATTATAGACCATGCTGACAGTTTCAGCCTAAATTGTTTTCCAAGCATGTTTTGGCAGTAACTGGATGGCTTATTATTTAGAAGTATTGTTGGATGGCTTATTGTTTAGAAGTGTTCTTTTGTTATTATTTTGTTATCATACGGGGGGGGGGGGACACAGGAAAAAAAGTTACTTAAGAAATGAATCTATACCTGAGACCAGGAATGGAATTCAATAAGACTCAGGCATGGCTTGGTCTACCAAACTTATTATCTTACGGTGTACCAAATTCAACAGAAGTAGTTAAAGCATTTTTAGACTTTTCAAAAGTAATAAATACCGCACATGCATATAATTAACAACAAGCCTCATAACATTTGTCATAGGTTTTGAAAGACTCATCTCTTTGCCTAAGGTGATGGCCATGAGAAATAAAAAATATTCCATATTGGGGCTTTCAGGAAAAGAAAAGATTAAAGATTAAAATCTAGGGAAGATTATGCCGATTTTATGTCATCTATGCATCGTCTACCCATCATCTTCTTGAATTAAAATTTTACTTTGAAGGGTATTTTATCACTGGAGTATAAAGTGTACAGGAGAAGCTGAAAAACTCTTTTCCATCTGTAATTGGTTCAGTTATTTATTGTTCCTTTGTTCAGATTTACTGCCAGCCAAGAACGGTGAGGAGCAAACAGTTCAGTTCCTTCTGGAAGTGGTGGATATCCTCCTGACCTATGTGAAGAAGACCTTTGACAGGTCCACCAAGGTACTGGATTTCCATCACCCTCATCAGCTCCTGGAAGGCATGGAAGGCTTCAACCTTGAACTCTCCGACAATCCAGAATCACTCGAACAGATTCTAGTGGACTGCAGAGACAGTCTGAAATATGGAGTGAGGACAGGTGAGAGAACGTGTTGGGCTGTTCATGAAGTAAAGAGTTTAGAGCAGCGTTTCTCAGCCTTGAAATCTTGAAGGTGATGTATGGACTTCAACTCCCAGAATCCCCCAGCCAGCATGAATTCTGGGATTTGAGGTTGAGAAAAACCTGTATTAAATTGTTGAAGGGTTTTGTTATGTGTATGTGAAAGTAGCTGATGCAGAAGCTTTATTACAGTCCAGAAGGCAGAAACTACCTCAGAAACTTACACACATTTAATTTATTTCATGATTTTAAAGAAGTGTAAGTACAGTATAACCTTGTGCTGAAAAATTTGGTATGAGGGGATACAGCATGGCATTCAAACAAGGGTTCTGAATGGGGCCACACCTGCAGCTACACTACTCAATGGCAAAAGAGATTTCCTAGTGCCAATGTTGGCATATTTTGCCACCATATTATTTTTATTACATTAGATTCAGAATAGTTCATTACTAACTTTTTCTGTTGTTCTCTTAAATCTGTCAAGCTTGACCACTCAACCTGATAGTATAGAAGGGAGAAGGATGATCAGGAATGTATTTGCTCTGATCTTGGCTCAAGGAATTGTCTTTCTATCCTTCCAATGTCCAAAAATAACAACCAAAAGATTACCTTGAATAAATTTATCTATGTATAATTCTCTGAATTCTTTGGTAGCAAAGGTCAATACCATTGGTGTTTTTGTGAAATATAAAAATATATCATCTCAGTTTTATTGTTTTGGCCCCACAGTTAATCTTTCAATAAATTTTCCAGACATAGTTCACACAATAACCAATGCAATACAACCTTTATTTAAACAGAGGTTATTGAATTAATTATAATTGATTAAGTTTATCTACAGACTAAGCCAGATCCAAAGAAATCACAATAATAGCTTAGATTTAGCATAATGGTGGGAAAATCGTTGCTAAATTAAATCAAGTTTTCTCATCTTTGGTAGTGATCTAATTGGTTATTTATACAACATGCTGTTAAGTACAGTATAACATTTCCACTATTATTTTATGAAGATGAATTGTTCTTGCTTGTCTACCAGTAACTGATTTTGATAGTAGGCAGAATGGGTGGAATTAATATATAGAGTAAAGGTGGAAAGGATGTTGCACAAAGAATAGGAGACAACTCTCTACACTCAAATTTGACTCATCGAAATTGGCTATTAGAAAGAACCCATCTGGAAATATTGTAAAGATATACCTTTTATAGTTTTAAAATATATAGTGCACCAAATCAATTTGGCCAACTGTAAGACAAAACGTGTTTATAAGAACTTGGCCATAAGTAAGAACTTATAGCATAAATAAGGCTCCATTTAATTTTAAATCATATGGCTTTGAGACTAGATTTGGACCTCTTATTTAAGACCTATATGAAGAAGTATCTGTAGGAAATTTATTTTAAATTCAATTTCCTTCTTCTTACTGAAAGAATTGACTGATCTCTCTAGGCAGTCACCCTGCCCTGCATGTATTCTGTGTGCACACATATGCCAAAATTCCTTGCTTGTTGCTATCATTAAGGAGATTGCTGGCTGATTCATTTGTCACTCATATTTTGCATTTTACAATACTGGCTATAGCCAACTTATAATGGCACACCTGAAAAATCCTAATTGCTTTTACCTGGTGAAATGCAAGCTGCCTATGTCCCAAGGGAACAATACCATTAGGTAAACGAGGGCATAAATGAATTTGTACTTTTTTGTCTTTATGTTCCATAGACATTTCATACAAAAAAGGGGTGGGGAGGAAAGAAGGGGGATTCAGTCATTAATACCTCTAACCTTACCAATAACTCATCCTACCGCAGGGAAATCTCTGCTTCCAGTCATTTTTGAATGACTTCTTTAATAAATTAGAGTATTTGCAGAACAATCTGTTTCCAAGGTGAAAGGATTGCTTGGAATGCTTTTATTCCGCATTGCAAAGAGAACAAAACTCAACTACTAGCAAGCTCTGGAGAGGAACTTATTTTCACAAAGAAAAGCAGTAAGAGAGTTGGCACCTCCTCTTTTTTCCCCTGTATGAAAGAATTGGAGTGGTGAGCCGGGGTTACTGAATATTATTTCAGCAAAATGTTAATCCAGTGGGGGAGCTAGAAGTTCTTGGTAGATTTTTCTTCACCCAGCTTCAATTATCAGTAAACAGGGGGAGGAGAGGCAACAAAATCTGCCCCACTGGCGGTGCCTATTTAAGCCACTGTTCCTTCTCCGTGTTAAACTCACCCTTTGCGGACGTGAAACGCATTCGCTCCACTTAGGAGTGGGCTGCTGGGGGTTTGCGGGGGTTCGGGAGAGCCCCTAGCTAAGATTCTGTGCAGTTTGGAGAACCCCCCAATCCCACTCCTGGCTGGCCCCGCCCACCCCTCCCATCCCCTCCCAGGAGTCCCCACACAGCCAGTTTTGGATACAGGTAAGTGCAGGGCATGCATGGAGACTCAGGGAAGGCAAACAACGGGCCTCCTGGAAGTTTGGGAAGGCCGGAAATAGGCCCATTTCCGGCTTCCAGAGAGCCTCCGGAGCCCAGGGAGGCCTTTTTCACCCTCCCGGAGGCTCAAGGAAAGCCTCCAGAGCCCAAGGAAGGCAAAAATGTCGTCCCCCCCGCCACCATGGTGCAGGAGTCTGACTAGGCCACGCCCCCCATGGCCACACCCACCCAGCAACCTGGCAGAGAACCCTTTGCTAAAATTTTCGAGGCCCAACCCTGCTCCCTTCCTCTGGATAGTTATGCAGGAAAGATCCTAATGAAGGTTCTTCCCTATTCAGCAGTCATCCCTCAGGTTACCAAGTGCTGAAGGCAAACCACAGGGAGAGATTATCACCACTGTGCCCTCCTCCTAAGCTTTCCAGAAGTATCTTTGGCCATTCAAGAAAAGAATGGGCGAAATGGACCTTTAGTCTGATCCAGCAAGAAGGAGAGGCAGGTGGGGGAGGAAAAGAATCTGCCACATAGGTGTGGGATGCTTCATTAAAAGAGCTGCCTTGGGACAAAGGGCTGGAAATATACAATCCAGATCTCCTAGCCCTACAATTACGGAAATCGCAACAACTAAGCTTCTTTTCAGGGACTTTGTGCAAAAGAAATTTTTTTTTGGGGGAGGGGGAAGTAAATCAAGCATGTATTTTTACATTATTTTTACATCCTTAGGAAAGCTATGGTTCCCCCCCGCCCCCCCCAAAAAATGCAGCTTGCCATGCGTGAGCCTTCTTTATATGCATGGAGTTATCTATGGCAATAATTCCTTTTGTAAGTTGGGAGATTCCTGATTGCATAATGGGGAAACTCCTTTCTGTCAGCAGAGGGTTTTCCTTTGTGCAAGAAAAAAAGGGTTCTCGTATTTGATTGGTTTACTCTCGAATTTTCATTGGACCAACCATCCTGCTTTTACATCTCAGAGAATGTTAAGTCGGCCGTCTAATCTAATGAGATCAGGGAAGTTCTGTGGTGGTTTGATGAAAGCAGGAGGCTGCCCTGATTTTCAAGGAAACTGTCCAGCATTGTAAAGTATAAAGATTGAGGGGCTCACTTGGGGACTAGGAAAAAGCAATGGAAGGTTTTTTTGCAATGGATCTAGTATTTTAAAGGGATCCTGATTTTGATATCACTTAAGATAGCTTCTTCGTTAGGAAGATTCTTAAATATGTACGGCTTCCTTCCTTCCTTACATGCTATATAATAGCATTAACCCTGATTCCAGTTTGGACTCTACTGCTAACCAGTGGTGGGATTCAATTTTCTTTACAACTGGTTCTGTGGGCGTGGCTTGGTGGGCACGGCAGGGGAAGAATACTGTAAGATCTCCAGTCAGAGCCAATATTTGCCGGTTCTCCGAACTACTCAAAATTTCCACTACCGGTTCTCCAGAACTGGTCAGAACCTGCTCTGGTGCTAACCATGTAGTTATTACTGCTGAGATTGTGGTAGGAATGGAACATTCCAACTGATGTAGATAGAATTCTCAACTGTGCAGGTCTTTGGCTTTGGAGTGTGGTCTACGGATAGACCTTCTGGTGAGATGTTTCAGTGCAAATCCACAACCATGACAAGTTTGCAATGTACTATTTTACTTTTAAAGTTTAATATACTATTTTACTTCAGAAGTTTGCCTTTAAAAACCCTGTTCATATGAACCCTGGTGCAGAAAGCAAACACCCTTCTTGCACCTGCCTATAGCTTTGAAACATTGTCAGAAAAAAATCAGTATCTGTAAGGCACAAAAAAATGCAAAATATAACCTTTGGATTAGAGATCACTTTTCATCAGTCTCCAAAGTTGGTCATATGTATTGTTGCAGCAACACCTGATAGTCAGAATTTGGCATGATAAATGTAAATATGAGATGTCATAAGAGAGAAGTGTTTATTTATTCTTCTAAAGCATGTCCTGATTCTCTACAACTAAGCTACTCACCAAACATTTCATACTAAGGATAGTAGCTTAAAAGGGCATATAGTGTAGGATGCTACTAAAGCTATATCAGTATATGCCACTCCTAGCACCGTTACTGCCTTGGAATGTAGAAATTAACAGATGAATAAATAAACAGTGGCAAAATATGCTTGCTTTTTGCCTACAAATTATTTGAGTTAATTAGTTTGCCTACAAAGATCATGTACAAAGAATCAGCTTTACTTAATCTGGTGTTTTTCAGAGGTGTTGGACTAACTTCCATAATCCTCAACCAGCATGATATTTTGACTAGTTTGAGCTGAGGTCTAGAATCTGGCCAATACCAGATTGGAAAAGATTGTTCAGTCTATAAAACAACAGAAAGCGTGAAAGTGAAAGATATAGGTAAATGGCTCCACAGCTTTCAGGAGAAAAGGATCTACTGTCTTTCTCCAAAGCTAGTTCCTGCTGCAAGTTAAATCTGTTTTGTAATGTTGACCCTATGTTTCTTTCATTTAAAATAATGAGATATTATTCCATATTAATCGTTAAAACCCATAAATGCTTTAAAATAAATTTTATGCTTATTTCACATTTACAAAGCAATCTATAATTTATTTTAGAATGAAGTCTCACTACATTCCAAAGTGCTCACTGCTAGTAGATATGCATATAGGGATGAAGTCTTCAATAATGTTAACATGTTTTAATGTAATTGTCCTGGCACATATACCAACAACAGATATTTCTTCATACATCTGAGTTTGACTTCCTTCTCCACGTTAGTTTCAAGGGAAGATAATTGTGACTAAGTTTGAATGGATTGAGTTTTGTTTTCAAAGTAGGATGTTGAAAGATAGGAAGGGAGGGAAGGAGGGAGGGAGGGAGGGAGGGAAGGAAGGAAGGAAGGAAGGAAGGAAGGAAGGAAGGAAGGAAGGAAGGAAGGAAGGAAGGAAGGAAGGAAGGAAATGTTCTTTTCTATTCCCTGCTAAGGGCAGTCCTGGCATCTACAAATGACAGAGAGGAAGATTAGCGTTAGCAGCAGGCAAGGGAAATGTAGGTTGGGTTATGTCTTTAATGGGCAAACCACTATCAAAGCAATCACTGAAACACCCAAAGGTGCTTTTTCTTTTCCAAGAAGCAACTGGACTTGCTGGTAAATCCCTGAAACAATACAGGAATGTAAATTAGGACCAGAATTTCCATTGCTAAGCAAGGCGGTTATTAAATGAGTCGCATCCAATTTTACAACTTTTGCCACGATTAAGTGGATCACTGCAATTGTTAAGTGAACCACTCATTGTTAAGTGAATCCAGCTTCCTCCATTGACTTTGATTGTTGAAGCCAGCTGAGAAGGTCACAAATGACAATCCCACAGCCCTGGGATTCTGCAATTGTAGTAAATTCAGGCCATTTGCCAAGCACCTGTATTTTCATCACATGACCATGGGGAACCTACAATGGTTGTTAAGCGCAAGGATTAATTGTAAGTCACTTTTTTCAGGGCTGTTGTAATTTTGAACTGATGCTAAATGAACGGTTGTAAGTCAAGAACTACTGTATTTTTTTCCTATTCATAAAGTTAAGGAAGGCCTTCTGAAATCACAATTCCTCTACAACAAACAAGTCAAAGATGCGGCCCATAGGCCTCATATAGGCCCAGAGTTGTCCCATGGGACCATCCTGGAGATGGCAAGGGACCTGGCCCATTCCGGCCATGCCCACCCCGAAAAACAAAATCCTGATAAGGCCCACAAAGGGATTGAGTTTGACACCCTTGCTCAACAACATTGCCGACAAATGTATAGCATTGCTTCCCTTCTATCCTTTCTCTATTTTCTCTATAATGGATATAAACATATGGATGAACCGATAGCTATGATATTTAAGCAGCTGTCTTTTTTTTTTCCCCTAGGTCATCCTCGATTTTTCAACCAGCTTTCTACAGGGCTCGATATCATTGGCTTGGCTGGGGAATGGCTGACCTCTACAGCTAATACAAACATGTAAGCCCAGCCTTGCTTTTTCTTTGATACCCAGAAATCAGATTCACATCTGAGAGGATTGTGGGCAAAGTTGAGTTGTATACCTGCACTTCAGGAAAGCCCCAGTCAAAGAGACTATCGCTGAGCCTCGTTGCTCCTAAAGGCAGCCTTCTAAACTTTTTAAACATGCAGGAAACCTTCAGACTTATGTCTATGTGAATTTTACTGAGGATAAAAACAAGAGGACGGGGAAATTGGTGGTTCCCATAGCTCTCTTCCTTTGCTTTCACCTGTGTCCTTTCACTCTTCCCTGAGTGACAGAAAAATAATGAAGTAGGCTTAGATAAATTAATTACAGGTTATCCCAAAGGTGCTTTGTAAAGAGGCAACTGGACTTTCTGATTTTTCTTTGATCTTTTTTTCTTTAAAGAAAAACCAGGAAGTCCAATTGCCTCTTGAAAAAGCATCTACGGGACAACTGTGACCTGGATGACTGAGAATCTCTATAGACATTTAGCAGTGAATAGAATAGAATAGAATAGAATAGAATAGAATAGAATAGAATAGAATAGAACAGAAATAGAACGGAACGGAACAGAATAGAAATAGAATAGAACAGAACAGAACAGAATAGAATAGAATTCTTTATTGGCCAAGTGTGATTGTACACACAAGGAATTTGTCTTGGTGCAAATGCTCTCAGTGTACATAAAAGAAAACATACATTCGTCAAGGCACTGAATAATAGGGCACAATAAGCAATCAAATCATACTAGGAAACAGTCAATATAAATTGTAAGGATACAAGCCACAAAGTTACAGTCACAAGTGGGAGGGGATGAGTGATAAGGAGTGATGAGAAGATTAACAGTAATAGTAGTGCAGACTTTGTAAATAGTTGAACAGTGTTGGGGAATTATTTTTACAGGTTAATGTAAAATTAATGTTACAGGTTAATGTATATTTGTAGCTAGGAAATATTGGAAACATTAAGGCAGCTCTGGGGTTATGCTGTCCTCTGGTGTTTAGGGGAAGGTTTATGGATCTGCATGTGAGAGGAAAGGAGAAACAGCCAAAGCCACCAAAAAAGCAGAGGTCAGCAATTTTTTTCTAGAAAGGATTGGATCCTGCTCCTTCTCAGTCTCATTAGGCAGAGCTGACGGATCTGCTGCCAAGGAGCACAGCAGCCACTGACCTTGAAATCAGGTTAATTAAAACCAGGGCCAAGCTTTCAAGATTTGGTTTGAAGTGCCTGCCTGTGGTCATAGAAGAAACTTGTCAGATGCAAAACGGAAAAACAACTCCCATGCTGGAAGCCTTAAAAGAGTATAAATAGGAACAGGAATCAAGCTGGTGGAAGGCACTTGTAGTTAGTATGACTTTTCTCACAAATGCTGTTTATTAATATGATAAATAAATATGAAATGCCCGGTTAATCATTGAAATTGGGTTTTTTTTAATATATAAAAGCCCCTCTCCTGTTCTCTGTGAACGTGATGCAGAATAATGTGAGATGGGAACTCCGCACAGATCTCCAAGACCTTTAGAAAGAATGGTAGAGCTGCATTCGACCCATTCAAAAGTGAATTTAGAACCTTGTTCTATGTGTTTTATCTCCGTATGTCATTGCATGCTATGATGGCTACATTCATAAGTGGTTGAGAATGCCTCGAGACAGAAAAGCTGTGTGTTACTGTGTGGTATAAGATGGAGACATTTCACTTGCAAACTGAAAAGGAAATATTTAATTGTCCACTAAGGAGGTTCTATTGAGCCAATGATTGCTTGGTGAATTGCCATATATATTCTTCTGTTGAATTCTGCAAGATATTTGACCTGACAAAGCTTCCTCATTTGCTTTAGTGTACAATAGCCTGTACATGATTTCTTGTGCCTTTCATTTTTCCATTTAATGCTACTATTCAAAGCAGCAAAGGGATCTATTTTTAATTAAACTGATTTATGCTCCATAGTATCCTAGACAAAATGATCAAAGTACCCAGTCCAGACCATTAAAATTTATATTCCATGAAATTCAGTGAGATGATGGAGTATTTTTTATCATTATTCTCCAGTGAAATGTATGTCTAATTATTTATTAGATTTATTACTTGTTTTTCATTCAGGAGCTCAAGGTGGTATACATAGCACTCCTAATTTTTCCCCACAACAACAATCCAATCCTGTATAGTATGGCACTCCGAGACAGATTAACAGGACGAAAGGAAGTATTCCCAGAAAGCTTCCATGGTTGAGAGTAAACTAGAACTTGAGTGCCTTTATCACAATCCAATAATTTAGACCATCATTAAAGATTTTTGTTTAAGGCTCCTCCACATGACCAAGTTAAAGATTATTTGCCCACCACTGCCTGACTAGAAAACTGAATTAACATGACATTTCTTGTTTTCATTGCCAATTCCTACTGGGCCAAAGCTATGCTGTCAGCAAAAGGTACCATCCTTCTTCACTGCAAACAGACATGTGGAGGAAAGGAATTTTTCTTTTTTCCTTCCAGTAAATTCCACCAGGAGAGAAGAAAACATCACCAGTCACTCTCTTTATGGAGGGATGCAGCCTGCTAACTTCCCATAAATATCTAAACTGGTGACTTTATAACCTATCAAAAATTGCTCTGGGAGGTGTAAAAATGGTCCAGTTGAGCAGCTGACAGACATTTGGTGGGGTTTGCAGTGCTGCATCGTGGCCATTTCTGCTGCATCACCCAATCCACTTTCTGTCATTACTCCTGTGGTATAGTTCTAGACAGGGTTAGAGCTCTTTTGGAAGACTGCTAGTGCGCGCACGATCCCTCCGTGCACCACACATCTCTGCGCATGTGTGTGTGTGTCCCGTGCCCCCCCTCCCTGCACATGTATGCCAGATACCCATCAGTATCAGCTGTCGGGCAGCGGCGGTGCACACACATGTGCAGTGGGGCACTTCCGGGCAAGCTCCTACGTGCCGGGGGAAATGGCTCTGTGTGCCACTTCCGGCACGCATGGCATAGGTTCGCCATCACGGGCATAGTACATCTAAGCATCCAACAGTAGTATAGTGGGGTATGGCACAGAATAGGAAAGAAATTCCTCATGCACTATGCCATCTCTAACATGCACTGCTAGTTCCATGCTTATATGTGACCTTATAACACAATTACTAACATTGCATTGCAGTGCCTATTTTATTACAGGCAGTCCTCGACTTATGACCACAATGGAGCCCAGAATTTATGTTGCTAAGTGAGACATTTGTTAAGTGAGTTTTGTCCCATGTTAGGATTTTTCTTGCCCCGGTTGTTAAGTGAATCTCTGCAGTTGTTAAATTAGCCACACAGTTGCTAAATGAATCTGGCTTCCCCATTGACTTTGCTTGTCAGAAGGTCACAAAAGGGGACAGGACCCCAGGACATTACAACCGTCATAAACATGAACCAGTTGTCAGGCATCTGAATGTAAATCACGTGACCATGGGGATACCGCAATGGTCGTAAGTGTGAAAAATGGTCCTCTGTCACTTTTTTTCAGTGCTGTTGTAACTTTGAACGGTCACTAAGCCAACTGTGGTAAGTTGAGGACTACCTGTACTTGTAAATTCCTACTCCTACCTCAGGTTCCCCCAGGCATTAGTTCCTACCCACAATTATTTACCTACCTGAAGGTGGATACTGTGTATTGTAGCACTTAAGCAGACAACGTGTTTGTGCACTTTAGCAAAATGTAAACGTACATAATATTGGCAAGGTATTCTTTTAGATACAATAATTTGCCATTTTGTGCTTTTCTGTTAATTCTTCATTTATTCCTTGAATGCATTGTAGGCAAATCTCCATGATCTTTTGCACAGAGAAAAAGGCTTCTGGTCACAGAAGGGCGTTTCAAGAACCAGCCAATTATTAAATAAGTTACCATAGTCCTTTAGAAATACAACACGCTACAGGATAGCAGAAGCAGAGGCAGCTTTGGACTTCCAGACTGGGAGCTTTATTATAAAGCAGCGGCCCTAATCTGGACCAAAGAATGGTTTAATTTAAGTAACAAAAGGATATTAAGACTGGAGGGCCATGATTTACAAAAAGGGTGGCATGCCTTCTTATGGGGAAAAGAAACAAAAAAAAACTTACTTTCATAGGCATTTGATTAGAGATTCCTTGATACAAAATTGGAACAAAATTAGAAAGAGACACTACATGAAAATTCCGATACGGCTATCCACAATGGAAGCGATGATACATCCCAATAATCTAGATGTATGTAAAATGGCAAAATATAAAGATGTTTTAGACAAACAGGGAAAATTAAAATCGAATCAAAACTTAAACAACAAGGAATATCAATAGACTGATGGCCATATCTCCAATTACAGAATAGACACAAAAAGTATATAGAAGAATACGGGATTTATACAGAACTACAATATTTGGATAAAATCCTTACAGGCCTCGATGAGAAAAAATATTGCAAAAATTTATAAATATTTATTAGAAGTTGAGTTAGAAGAAGAAATTGTAAAAGGTTGCATAATAGCTTGGGCCAAAAATATAGGACACAACATAGATTTAGTAGAATGGGAAAAAATCTGGAATAGGAATTATAAATTAATGAGATCTTCAGCCTACATAGAAAAATATATAAAATGTTTTACAGATGGCACCTACCTCCAAACAGATTAGCAAAAATGTATCCCAACATGAATCCGGCATGTTGGAAGTGTAAAAAGAGACATGGTACTTTCTATCATATGTGGCGGTCCTGCCCAGAAGCGCAAAGATATTGGACCAAAATGAGGCAATGAATACAAGAAATTGTCAAAGAACAAGCAGAATTTGAACTGGAATTATTTATGCTAGGGGTATTTAAAAAGAAACATGATAAAAAGATTAAGTACATTGTATTACACATATTAATGGCAGCTAGATTATCTTATGCACAATGTTGGAAACATAAGAACATCCCCCGTGACAAATTGATAATTCAAAAAATATTGGAATGTGCCAAAAGGGACAAATTGACCCTAGAACTAAAGGACAAATAAGAGTCAGAACATTATAAAATTTGGGATATGTGGTATGATTGGCTGGAAATTAGACAAAGAGAATATAACGAAAGTTAAAAGAAGTAAATGACGGATAAATGTATATAATCGTATAATAATGTACATAAATGTATAAAGCACAAGAGATAGAGATGTATAATACGAATGTTACAGTACTGTTAGGGTTATTTTTTTTCTTTTAAAATGTAAAAGAATTAATAAAGTTTAATTAAAAGAAAGAAAGAAAGAAAGAAAGAAAGAAAGAAAGAAAGAAAGAAA